CACACACACACACACACACACACACACTCACACACACACTCGTATCGACGTGGCTGTCAGACCTCCAGCCGCCCTTCATGGTCTTGACCAGACTTTGCTCACCTCTTTCCCAAACTCCACTTTCTTTTTGATGTGCTTATCGCTGTTAAGCCAGCAGTGGTGCTTTACATCTCTTCTTTTTAAGTTCTCCCTTAAAGTGTGACTTTCTATCAGGATTTTTTTTTAAAGGAAACCTTCAGAGACACTTTTGCTGCATAATTGTATCTTTAGACATTTAGACCTGTTTTGGAGCAAGCCGTTAACCATGAGGTCTTACTGTTTACTTGATTATTTATGATGCTAATGTTTATTTCTTCCTTCCAGGTGCTGGAGGTGCCCTCTGGGAAGCTTCTGGCCACTCTGCAGGGGCACACTAAGACTGTGCTGCACTGTCAGTTCAGTCAGAACGGCCAAACACTCATCACTTCATCTGAGGACGCCACCATAAGAGTAGGTTCCTCCTCTTTCTAGGTTGCTCTGTTTTTGTCTTTGTCCTGTGTGTCTGTCTGCTTTATATTTCTGTTTCTCCTAGTCCTATTCATCAGTATGTTCTCCATCCTCACCTTCTTTTCCTGCTAATCAATGGCAAGTTTCTTTCACCTCCCCTGCCAGCCTGCTTCCCATTTTTCTTCTCTGCTATCGATTACTCTTTCCCCATTCCCATTCCTCACCTTGAGTAAAAATGCCTTCCATGCTCAATCTTTTAACCTCACAATATTTCAGGTCCCTGTGGTGTTTTCACTTTCCCCTACCTGTTACACGCTACCAACGTCTCTGTCGGCCACTGCACTTCTCCATTCTTCATCCCTCTTTTTTCGTGTCCTCTCCTTCCTTTTCTCTTTCTTTGCCTCGGGCTGTGCCGCTCTTGGTAGCTCTTTATCTCCGTCTTGCTCATGTGTTGACCGCGTGCAGCTATCTGTTATGTGTTATTGTTGTGCAGTGTGTGAGTATGTGTGTATTGTTCAGGCCGTTATGCTCTGTCAACTCCCAACGTTCATGCTCTGCTGCTCATTTCCCCTTTCCTCTCATCTCATCCTCTTCTTCGTCTATTCCCTTTGCCGACAGACCTGTCCACTGCAGCACTTCCTTCCCTCACCGACAGCACAGCATCTAATTCCATATTCATACAGCTACTCTCTGCACTGTTCTCAGCACTCTCAAACAATCCCCACTTATTCAAAAAGAAACTGAGATTTATGCAGTTTGATATGTGCTCACAAGAAGATGGATATCTGTATTTAAATGTATGCCGATTTAGTGACACTGATCTTAGTTAATGAAAAGTTTTAACCTTCACACCAATGACAGATTGTTTGCGGGGGGTGGAAAGGCAGCACCTTGCACACAAGGCCATGATTGATAGGATTATCTGGATGCTTCTCTCTGTCCTGCCCTCCGTCTTTGAGCTCAGTTGGAACCCTTGTTTCAGCTCATTTCCTGTAACTCTCTGCTCACATAAAACAAACACTCTGTAGACTCATGCACAGGTCCAGATTTCTAACTTAACAGATTCATCAGCATTTAGCACATTTAAAAGGAAGGGGAAAGGAAAGTAAATCAATTAAGTACTATGATATTATGTTGTAAAGATGGATTTATCCACTTAATTTTATGGGGTGCTACACAGAGGAAAATACTTTCCTATGTTGTGTTAGTTAGAAATGTGTTTTTTAAATTCAGTTAATTCTCTTGAGTTTGACCAATTTGATTCTTCCTTAATGTATAGATACTTAAGAAACGCATCACCGATTAAATTACTCATTAAATACATAGGAAAGGCAAAAATGGCAACAAGGGGTGAAAACTGATTTTTGATATCTCTGTCACAAAGTGGCTGAAAGACGTTTTTTTTGTTGTTGTCCCCCGTAGTTGTGGGAGTGGCAGTCAGGCAAGTGTAAAGTACTGCACGGTCATAAGGAGCAAGTCAGATGCTTCTCTCTACTCTCCGACTCACCGAACGACTCAAGACTGCTGTCCTGGTCCTTCGATGGTACTGTGAAGGTAAAACTCGTGCTCTTGCACATTTATAATATTAAATTTAACAGCCGTGTGAGATCAAATGGTAATTTTTTCTTCTTTGCACACTCTTAGGTGTGGGACACCGAGAGCGGAGAGAAACTGCAGGACATCGAGGCTCATCACGGAACCATTCTGTCCTGTCATGTCTCGCC